ATTATAAACTACATGAAGTTATTGGATTTTCGCACAAAGCTGGCCAAGCCCTTTAATGCTTCCTTATCGCATCAAGGGACGATTTCGCCCAGTAAACGCTGCAGTTGGGCAGGTTTTTGGATTTTAGGCGGGGTTCCAGGTCAAGGAGGACTGGCGAAGCCATTTGTTATTGTTAGGAACGTTTTTTCGAATATGTTGATTTCTGCGTGCAATCGCCATTTAATACGTATTAAATTATGTTTTCAACATAAGCAAAGATTGACTTTGAGCGTTCACGATTTTAACCGACGCTTTCTTCCTTATTATTGACCCAAGCACTGTATAAATGCACATTTGTGACTTTGTTGCGTCGAAAGGAATCGAATGAGCTCAAAAAACACGCATGTAAAATTTTGATTTTTGGCCGAAATTTTTCCAAGGGTGGAGGTCGATTTTTTAAAAAAATGGAAATTTTCTCAAAACGTCTTAAATTTTACTTCATTTTGAGCGCACGGACGCGACGAATGCACCGAACTCATTGGAAAACATGCTAGAAGTTTCAGAGCCCAAATAATAGACACTCGGCATATTTTAAGCGTTTTTTGAGCATTCAGGATTTTTAACCGACGATTTCTTCCTTATTATTGACCCAAACGCTCTTTAAATGCATATTTTTGACCTTCTTACGTCGAAAGGAATCGATTGAGCTCAAAAAACGCGCATGTGAAATTTTGATTTTTGGCCGAAATTTTTCCAAGGGTGGGGGTCGATTTTTCGAAAAAATGAAAATTTTCTCAAAACGTCTTAAATTTTACATCATTTTCAGCGCACGGACGCGACGAATGCATCGAACTCATTGGAAAACATGCTAGAAGCTTCAGAGCCCAAATAATAGACACTTTCGGCACATTTTAAGCGTTTTTTGAACGTTCACGATCTTTAACTGACGATTTCTTCCTTATTATTGACCCAAACGCTCTTTAAATGCATATTTTTGACCTTCTTACGTCGAAAGGAATCGATTGAGCTCAAAAAACACGCATGTGAAATTTTGAATTTTGGCCGAAATTTTTCCAAGGCCCACCCTTGTCGATTTTTTAAAAAAATTAAAATTTTCTCAAAACGTCTTAAATTTTACATCATTTTGAGCGCACGAACGCGACGAATGCATCGAACTAATTGGAAAACATGCGAGAAGCTTCAGAGCCCAAATAATAGACATTTTCGGCACATTTTAAGCGTTTTTTGAACTTTCACGATCTTTAACTGACGATTTCTTCCTTATTATTGACCCAAACACTTTATGAATGCATATTTGTGACCTTCTTACGTCGAAAGGAATCGATTGAGCTCAAAAAACACGCATGTGAAATTTTGGATTTTGGCCGAAATTCTTCCAAAGGTGGGGGTCGATTTTTTGGAAAAATAGAAAATTTCGCCAAATGTTTTAAATTTCACATTTTCACGTTCACGGGCGCGGGTAATGCATCGAACTCATTAAAAAACATGAAAAAAGTTCCAGATCCGATATAATTAGATATTTCTTCCAAAGGTGCTGATTTTTCGCAATTTGCATGAGCGTAAATCGAAATTTATAGAATAAATTTAGCAAGATTTCTTATCTTCTCTCTTTCGTTCCCTTCTTCTAGCAAACGATTCAATTTACGTGCGTCATTAATATTTGAAAGTAAATAAACCGTGCTTAATTGCATTAAATATTCGAAAATCTTCCACAACAATTCCCGAAAGGAAACCGTGTTTATCACCCACAATCAACCGGTCTGAACCCGAAAACAAGTTCTCGCTCATTCCTCCTCCAGTCGACATTCACATGCTAATTAACCGTAGTGGAAATGTCATCATTAGCATCCGGTAAATTAAAAGAAATGTTGGCGCCTATGGAAGATTTACACAATTAGTTTTTATTTTTATTATTTACTATTTACCAGCCAAACGCCCCTGTTGCAATCAGTTGGGCCTTGTTTGCTTAAACGGTTCGACTTTGTTTTATTTGCATGCTTTTTTCCAGGCTGATGTCCCCAAACATTTCCCCTGCCACGTCGCCCACGATGTCCACGTCATCATCTCCCACTCCGCCGCCTGCCAACTCATCAGCCGCCATTTCATCGGCGAATAACTACAACAAAATGGCGGGCATTCCATGCGTCGCTGCCGCTTCTCGGTACACTGCGCCGGTACACATTGATGTCGGCGGTACCATTTACACTTCATCGCTGGAAACACTCACAAAGTACTTACTTAGGCAAATATTTGTATTCCCCAGTATAGTCTGTCTCAAGCTATTTGACAGTGA